AGACGCAGAGAGTACAGAGAGAGAGAGAGAGAGAGAGAGAGAGAGAGAGCGAGACACAGAGAGAGAGACACAGAGAGAGAGACACAGAGAGAGAGACACAGAGAGAGAGGGAGACACAGAGAGGGAGAGAAAGACACAGAGAGAGAGACACAGAGAGAGTGTCACAGAGAGAGAGTACAGAGAGAGAGAGAGAGAGCGAGACACAGAGAGAGAGACACAGAGAGAGAGGGAGACAGAGAGAGACACAGAGAGAGACACAGAGAGAGACACAGAGGGAGACACAGAGGGAGACACAGAGGGAGACACACAGAGAGTCACACAGAGAGACACACAGAGAGGCACACAGAGAGACAGAGAGAGGCACAAAGAGAGAGAGAGAGAGAGAGATAGACAAAGAGAGAGATACACAGAGAGACACACAGAGAGACCCACAGAGAGACACACAGAGAGACACACAGAGAGACACACAGAGAGACACACAGAGAGACACACAGAGAGAGACACACAGAGAGACACACAGAGACACAGATACCGAGAGACACAGATACAGAGAGACACGGATACATCCAGACACAGATACAGAGAGACACAGATGCAGAGAGACACAGATACAGAGAGACACAGGTACAGACAGACACAGATACAGAGAGACACAGATACAGAGAGACACAGATACAGAGAGACACAGATACAGAGAGACACAGGTACAGACAGACACAGATACAGAGAGACACAGATACAGAGAGACACACAGAGAGACACACAGAGAGCCACACAGAGAGACACACACACACACAGATACACACACAGAGACACACACAGAGACGCAAACACAGAGACACACACAGAGACACACACACAGAGACACACACACACAGAGACACACGGAGACACACTCAGAGACACAGAGAGAGACACAAAGAGAGAGACACAAAGAGAGAGACACAAAGAGAGAGACACAAAGAGAGAGACACAAAGAGAGAGACACAAAGAGAGAGACACAAAGAGAGAGACACACAGAGACACACACACAGAGAGACACAGAGAGACACACAGAGAGATACACAGAGAGACACACAGAGAGACACAGAGAGACACGCAGAGACACACAGACAGACACGCAGAGACACACACACACAGAGACACGCAGAGAGTCGCACAGAGAGACACACAGAGACACACACAGAGACACACACACACAGAGACACGCAGAGAGACACGCAGAGAGACACGCAGAGAGACACGCAGAGAGACACGCAGAGAGACGCGCAGAGAGACTCGCAGAGAGACACGCAGAGAGACACGCAGAGAGACACCCAGAGAGACACGCAGAGAGACACGCAGAGAGACACGCAGAAAGACACGCAGAGAGACATGCAGGGAGACACACAGAGAGTCACGCACACACAGAGAGACACACACACACACAGAGACACACACGGAGAGACACACACAGAGACACACACACACAGAGAGACGCACAGACAGAGACACACACAGACAGACACACAGAGACACACACACAGAGACACACGCGCACAGACACACACACACAGAGACACACACACACACAGAGACATACACACACAGAGGCACACGCACACAGAGACACACACAGATATACACACACACAGAGACACACAGAGAGACACACAGGGAGACACACACACACAGAAACACGCAGAGAGACACGCAGAGAGACACACACAGAGACACTCACACAGAGAGACAGACACACACACACCCACAGACACACACACACACACACCCACACACACACACACACCCACACACCCACACGCGCACCCGCGCGCGCGCGCGTGCGCGCGTGCGCGCGTGCGCGCGCGCGCACGCGCACGCGCACGCGCACGCGCCGCGCGCACTAGCGCACGCGCAAGCGCACGCGCGCACGCCCGCACGCGCGCACGCGCACGCCCGCACGCGCGCACACGCACGCGCGCGCACGCACGCGCACGCACGCGCACGCACAAACACAAACACAAACACAAACACAAACACAAACACAAACACAAACACAAACACAAACACAAACACAAACACAAACACAAACACCATCACAAACACAAACACACGCACACGCACACGCACACGCACACGCACACGCCCACGCCCACGCCCACGCCCACGCCCACGCCCACGCCCACGCCCACGCCCACGCCCACGGCCACGCCCACGCCCACGCCCAAGCCCACGCTCACGCCCAAGCCCACGCCCACACCCACACCCACACCCACACCCACACGCGCCTGCGCCCGCGCCCGCGCCCGCGCCCGCGCCCGCGCCCGCGCCGCGCGCCACCCGAAACACCCGCGCCACCCGCGCTACCCGCACCCGCACCCGCAAGCGCACGCGCACGCGCACGCGCACGCGCACGCGCACGCACGCGCACGCGCACGCGCACGCGCACGCGCACGCGCACGCGCACGCGCACGCGCACGCGCAGACGCAGACGCAGACGCAGACGCAGACGCAGACGCACACGTACACGCACACGCAGACACACAGGCAGACACACACGCAGACACACGCGCACGCGCACGCGCACGCGCACGCGCACGCGCACGCACACGCACACGCACGCGCACGCGCACGCGCACGCGCACGCGCACGCGCACGCGCATGCGCACGCGCACGCGCACGCGCAGACGCACGCGCAGACGCAGACGCAGACGCAGACGCAGACGCACACGCACACGCAGACACACACGCAGACACACACGCAGACACACACACAGAGACACAGAGACACACAGACACACAGACACGCAGACACACACAGACACACACACACACAGACACACACAGACACACACACACAGACACACACAGACACACACAGACACACACAGACACACACAGACACACACAGACACACACAG